ATTATAAACTATTTTTGTGTCAGGTAAATATGAAATAAAACATATGACTTTTTTTGTATTTTATTTATAAGAGCTGGTGTAGATGAGTTATTTGGCTGCGTTTGATAAGCATTTGAAGCACAGATTAAATGCAGGTCGGGAGATTCTCATCTCATTTATGTCTTTGGCCACAGCAGGTCCTATTGAGATGTGATTGCGTTGCAGACAAATGTAGCATTTTGCTTTTGAATAGCCTTGTGTGAATGCAAAAGGCATCATTTGACGCTGGCTACGCTAGGTCTGAAACAACTCCTTTACACATTTTTCCAGGCTATTCTTAGCTGCTTTGTTAGAAAAAAAAAAAAAACCTGTTCACTGACATCACTAGCTAAAGCTGAGATTTACACACACACACACACACACACACTTCAGCTGTCCATACCTTAATGTGTACTTTGGCTTTATTCAACAGCCCCAGTGTTGTGTGTCTGGAGTTGTCTGATTCCAGATCCCTTAGAACTATGGGGGAAAGCCCTGACCCCATAGTTCTCCTTTAAGGTCACATGAGGGAGCTTTGGTAGCAGAACTATTTTTAGCTGAATGAGGACCCAAAAAAAGTGAGTTGGGAATTTTCGTTTTTTCATAGAGAAGTAATAATCATCCCTTCATGACGTGAAGCTGTAACCGTGTCTATGTTTATTTATTATGATAGGTTTATGCTATATACGGCTATTTACAGCTCCTTCTTCCCACAACTATTTCCAAACTTTGGTTTAAGTTTTTTTTTAGACCTTGGCTACACTTTTGTGGAGTCATTTTATACCAAGGACTTATCTGTACCGTGCGTGCTGTGCACGCCACCCCCTGGCACGTCCGCCTGCCGCGGCCTGCTGCCAAACCACTTGTTCCAGCTTAACCCCTTCCCGGCCGCCTCTCAAAGGACAGTTAAGAAACGCTCAACCTACACACTGATCTCTGCTAATCAAAGAATACAAAAATTAACTCTTCTTGACCGCTCAAACGACACCACCACGTATGAATCCTATAAGAGTGTAACATTATTATATTATTATTAGTAGTAGTAGTAGTAGTAGTATTAATATTTATTTAATTTAGGGCTGTTACTGATTAAAATTTTCGTGTTCGATCAAATTTTTTTTTATTCGATTAATCGATTAATTTCGATTCATTATAACACACATACAGATCCAACTACATTGGCCTATACACATACAGCACAGCAATAAAGTAATAATATGGACTAGGATCACACTAATCCAGCACGTTATTAATCTCACGTGCCCCACTCAATATGGCCGCCGCTGGAGTGGGGCAACTCAGAATAATAACGTGCTGGATTACAAATGTATTTACATATTATAGTAAAACAGCAAAGCCCTAAGGGTGATTTAAACATAAGTATTAGCTTAATATTTGAAGTAGCAGCACCTGTCCATTCCATTTCATGTAAGGACCTGATTGCAACATAATATCAGTAAGTTAATGGAGAGCCACATGGTGCATATATATATAAAGTTTAAGATAAGACAGAAGCTTGTGCTTCTTGGGCAAACTCACCGGCCCAAGTGGCTCTGTCAGCTAACGAAGGGAAGGGGGGGAGGAGTCCGGTGACATCACGGACTTAGACGTCACCGGACTCCTCCCCCTTTCCCTTAGTTAGCCAACGGAGCCACTTGGGGAAGGGGGGAGGAGACGGGTGACGTCGATGTCCGCAACGTCAGCGGATCATCCGACGGGACTCCCGGAAGCCGGCGGAGGTGAGTGTTTTCTTTAGCGATCAAAAAATTTTTTTTTTTTAAATCGATCAAAAAGATTAAATCGGGGAATTAATCGTTAATTTCCGCAGCCCTAATTGAATTTTTTATTACATAAGTAGAGCCGATCTTTTTACTGTACATCAGATAAAAACAAACATTCTGAGATGACTTTTTAACCATCAAAAAACAAACAGTTACTTATAAGACAGATTCTTATACAATGTTACACATATATACAGGGCCGGATTTACTCTCTCTGCTGTACAAACGGCGTCCCCGCTGTACATTTAGCTCTGCTTGCCCAAAGCCGGGCTAAATGTAGAAAACAACTACTCGCCCGGCGTCCGAAAACTTCATGCCCCCGGGCATCAGGAGAAAGGGATTCCACACCCCTGCTGCCCCTCTACTCCCTGCTGCCCCTCTACTCCCTGCTGCCCCGAGGCCTTGGTTGGCCTTGTGGGAAATCCGGCCCTGCATACATAGTGCTATTCGATGCAGCTGTCCGGGAAGTTACAAACGGGTTCATTTGTATCCATTCACATCGTCTCAATGTATAACCCTAACCGTCCGCTCCGCTCATCCCAAGACCTCCTGCTTTCCAGCTCCCTTGTTAACTCCTGCCATGCTCGCCTCCAGGACTTCTGTAGAGTCTCTCCCATCCTCTGGAACTCTTTACCCCAAGCTGTCCCTCTGCCTCCCACCTTGACTGCCTTTAGGCTTTCCCTAAAGACTCATCTCTTCAGGGAAGCCGATCCCACCTCAACCTGACCACTGAACTAGAACGTTCTCAAACAATTCATTCCCCACACAGCTCCCTCCTCATGTATCACTGGCCCCATCTTGTCTTGAATTGTATTGTGATTGTAATGTCTTCCTTATATTGTAAAGCGCTGCACAAACTGTTGGCGCTCTATAAATCCTGTATAATAATAATAATAATTGTAACAAAATGTCAATAACGCTAAATAGGCAATAAAAAAAAAATGTAATTAATTAAAACATAGATAAAGGCTCCCATGAACTGGCAGGACAATGCTGGGAGTTGTAGTGCTGCGGGAAGCTTCATAGCGCACTCCTTCTGCTCGGCCCCCCTTTTCAGTATAAATTTAGTTCTGTTCTATTTTAGAAAATGAATACAAAACCGCAGAGGAAAAAAAAAAAGAAGTTTTGACTCATTTCCAGAGAGCGACACATGACTCCAGCCTGAAGTGTATGGAGGTGGGGGAGTCAAGACTTTCTCTACAAAGTGATTACATCAGCATGTTCTATACAAATTCGTTCTTCAGCCTCTGTGCACTGGCAACAATGCATGTAGCCGGTGTGCTAGAAGAGCCCGTCCACACTATCATGTTAGAAAAAACGCACATGCCTCAAAGTGCATATGCATATTTTTAACGCGTTGCATTAAATTGTAAAGCAATGCAGGACCCATTTTATTTGCACTTTGCATGCTTTTTCTTTCTACACATTTTCATTATTTCCCATTCGATGCGACTCGAAAAATGCACTAATCTAAACGCATATTGCGTTCTCTATGAGTTGCCCTCAGGCTGTCAGTGCTTGCTGCATCTTTTGCATGCATTTGAACCAAAATGTGCAGCAGATGCAGCGAGCACTGATGTGCGCAGCTTCGTAGATAATAATGGTAACTGATTTTGTAGTGCACATAAACCGTGATTGTGTGAACGTGGCCCTAACAATGTCCCTCCATGATGGGGGGGAGAACGCCCTTCTCACCGCGCCCAATAGCGCCATTGTCAGCTGCCGCGGTATCGCTCTCAGATTTTAAATCTGAAAGTGGCATAAAACGCAACTCTATCAGTCTGCTACTTTGCTTTCCAGGCAGTCTTGTGGTACAGGCCCTCTCCGCGTGCATGCCTTGTGATAGCGCTGGTCTCGGGCAAATGGTGTCAATGGGTGTGGTCGGATGG